CTAAAGTTAAACTGGTCGATTTGAAGTGAAACAATTGACGACACGCGTCAATTATTTCGGATTTGGGCCGGCCAATCGGAGAGCAGTTGTCACCGTAATTATTTGGCAGAATAGTTTTCAAACAAATTAAATGACATGTCGTCTCTATTTCTGGTTATAAACTCGATGAATCGTATTACCTACATTAAAATAATTACCTATACTCCGTTTGGATAGTTCTTTTTGGCACAAGTTGCAAATAACACGGTTGTTGTCCTTGTAAGTAACAGCTTCGATTTCGGATGGCTCTGAAAATTAATATTCCGAAAAAATTAGGTATATAACAGGGTATGATAATCCTGTTGGAGAGCAATTATCTATAATAAAGGACCTTCCAATAAGAGGTATCATTTTGATATTTAAAAAAAAAGAGTATTTTAAGCGAAATCATCGTATATTATTATTTGATATAGATTTTCAAATGGTTTTTACTTTCGTTCGTAATAAAATAAAGTCCGAAATAAAGCCAGTGTAAATGGGCGAAATAAATAGGTGAGTTATTTGAGACAAACAACGTGAGTTATGTGTAGCGTTGAGAACGATATAGGGAAACTATTATATTATATAGCTATAAATAGAAAACATTATGTATCTTTTTATTTAGTTAACGAGAACCATGTTCTAATTTTCGTAATGAAAACGCTAAAGATCTACAGTACTTCAGTACAAGTGACATGGATCCACTTAGCATATATTAAAAAATACATTATAAGAAGCTGACCCAAGCAAGCTGAACCGTATTAGTATGGGAAAAATTTTAATTCAAGCCGAGGTAGTATACAGAGATTCAGATTGTCTAAAATAGCCTTGACGTACCTTCCTTTTTAACCTCTTTTTCCATCATATCATCCAAAAAACCTTTATCATCGTCTTCTTCATTTTGTATTTCCTGTTCATCTTCTAATGAATCCACGTATTCTATTGTTACAGTTTCCAATTTTATATCTTTTTTGTCTGTTGTACTGTCTTCTGGGATAAATAATTACAATTTTGTTATAGAAGTGTTTACTCTACGGCCATACTAAAACGGGGCTAAGTGACAAAATATTTTTTGTTTTTTTGAGATATCATAAAAAACCATAACCCAATTTTACAATATTGAAATTGTTTAATGATATTTCACCTACGCATCGTTAGGGTAAGTTCCGATAAGTCGAACACATTAACTAATTTTAACTGTTTTTAAAAGAGATTTTGTGCTTTATCTTGTGGTATTTAAAACAGATATTTGACTTTGTCACATAGCCGCGCTTTAGGTAATGGATGGCAGCATAAGTACGTATGTATAATAACTTGTCAAATGACATAAAAATGTTAGATAGTACGACTTTTGACAAAACTTTAAAGATGTGGCTCATTAAAAAATGTTTTACAGTTTAAACAATTTTTTTTATTATAATTCAACCTATGGTTCAACTTTACGCAAAAGGCCATTAGCGCCTTTCGTGTTCAGTACAATAACGGCTTCAGGATGCTAATGGGGCTGCCTCGCTTCTGCAGCGCGTCGGGAATGTTTGCGCAGGCTCGTGTCGATGACTATTACGCCATCATGCGCAAAAAGACGGCCTCGCTGCTCTGCAGATTGCGGGCCAGCACAAACTCCATCCTGATGACCGTAGCAGGGAGATATGATTCCCCCATGATGCGACATTTTTTGCAGGTGCTTGTTAGCAAAACGTGTTCATCAATTTGCTGACAAGCGCCATTAAATATTAATTTTCTTTTCGTTTTTACTAACATAGTCACTAAGAAAACTGTAACTAACCAATTTATGGATCACGTTGTCCGAAATAAAGATGTAAATAAAAAAAAATAAGCAATTTAAATTAATGTAATAATGAATTAATATGCTTTATGTACAAGTTTACTTTAATTTCATAATTAATTTGTACTTTAAAAATTATGCGCCCGTAGCGCGTAGATTGTGACGATTGTAATTATGTTCATGAGATCATATTCAGACAATAAATTCATTCTATTGTATTTTATTCCAATATTTTATGTTTATTGAATATCATAATGTTTTTACTTGCATAGTATTTACATATTTTAACCGACTTCAAAAAAGGAACAGTGATTAGATCGTATTTTTTTAACCGATTTCAAAAAAAGGAGGTTCTCAATTCGACTATATGATTTTTTTTGTATGTGTGTTACGCGATAACTCCGATATTTGTGAACCGATTTTCATTATTCTTTTTTGTCGCCAAAAGGGTACCTCCATAGTGGTCCCATTTCATTTTGAAGAAAATCATCCACCTCTACGCATAACGATTCATTTTTATAAATAGCGCCTAAATTTTGTTAATTTTGTTAAAAGCAATTATTTTAATGGTTGATTTTGCTATTCTCCAATTCAAGGCGTTTTTCTCTCTCAATATACTTTCGAGTAGTGAGAACCGATTTTTATTATCTCCTGTGTCAAGTCCCGTATAGTGGCGAACTAGGGGATGAATCCGGATTTGCGCACTTTCCGGTAACCGATTTCAAAAAAACTTGGTAATTATATGTAATTCCACATACTTTTGAGGTCGGTTTTTTTATTATAATATCAAGTGACGGAACAAACAAGTCGTGCCCCTGATGGTAAGCTATACGCCTGTCCATAACAGTTGCAGTGCCACTCAGAGCTATAAATCGCAACGATCTGAGGGGCACTGCCACTGCACCCATCACCCTGAGACGTAAGTTGGCAAGTCTCATATGCCTGTAATTTCACCAGTACTCTTACCCTTCAAAACCGGAACACGGTAATGTGATTGCTAACATCACTGCCTACACGCTATTCAATGGCAGTTTCTGTAGAAACTAAGAAATACCTTGAATATCTAAGAATTCCATGCACTCTTCCAACTTCTCTGCATCATCAAATTCTAATGACTCAACAAGCAGATCCTTTCTATTGTTAAATTCCGTTTCAATTTCTTCTTTTTTAATTAATTTAGTTTTTAGAAGACGTAGCTCTGTTTCTTTGCACTTTTTTCTAAAGTTTATAGATTTGTTTATGAATCCTTTGCAATTCCTGCACATGTTTCGTGGTAAACCGTCACTGGGCGATACCTGAAATGGTTATTAGAACATTATTTTAAACACACATCAAATACAAATATTTTACAATGGCCTCATTACAAAGAAATAAAGTGGTCCTGTGCTGACTTCCAGGTCACATATCGAGGGAAATGAGGCAGCAGACGAACTGGCAATTGTTGGTGCTAGGGAAACCTTTATTGGACCTGAACCCTTTATAGGGATAGCATACAGCCTGGCAAAGCTCACTCTGCTGAATGATAGCACATCTCCCGAGAAATGTGGCTACAGAGTAAGGGTCTTATATATCCATATCAGTAATAATAGGCCAAAATTTTGTTGTTAACATCTCTCGATAGTATAATCCATTGACCGTAACCTCATTACCAGCATTGCAGCCTTAAAACTCAAAATTCGTGAAGTGGTTAACGAAAAAGACCCACCATTTTGTCAAAAAGTTATTAAAAACTTTGACGAAAGAATCAACATTTGTAACTGCGGTCATGGTGGACATTTATTTCATTTTTCATTCATAATTGCCAATTTCACTTTTTTTAATACAATAAAAAATTTGATCATTGTCATTTGAATTTATTGTTTTATTTGATTTACTAAATTAAGTTCTTGTTAAAAAACCCTTTACATCCAACTACTGGGCACGGGTTTTCTCTCAAGCGATGATTGTAGGCAATAGTCATATTTTAGTTGGATACCAATCATTAAGCAATATCGTAATAAGAGTCATACTACCTTAGCACCAAAATTTTTCTTTCTGAGCAATTTTCTCGAAAAATATAAGTTTTACAGAAAAATGAATAAGAATAAAAAATGTTCATTTAAGTCTAATGTATCAGAAATAAGTATTAAAAACATTTATTACAAAATTTTAAATAAATTTGAAAGTTTTTTGTCCATTTCCACAGTGCCCCCTTTCCTACACTCTGACCCATAGTCCGCCTTGCTGTGGATTTCACAAGTGTTCTGAGTGTTGTAAACTGGTCATGGTAAAATTCAAATAAAATTTCACATATAAACCCTAACTACAAGCTTAGGAGGTTGTAGTTAGGTTACCACAGCAAATCAATTCATAATACATTATATTTAATTAATATTACTAAGTATATAAAATATTATTATGATATGCCTGAAAATAACTAGAAAAGATTTTGGAAATATTTACCTTTATACCGGTTGTAAGAAAGATAGTTTTAGAAAATTTTATATACTCGGAAATAGTTACGAAAATAGGTGTTAAGTTTTCGTCTCTTAAACATAGACGACAAACTGAAGAAAAGTCCATGTTTAAATAATGTTATTTGAGCAAAAGTATTAAAATATTAAATAGTTTACTGTTTGCAATATATATCTCTGTTCAAAAATCATTGAAATTATAAAAAATACAGATATTTTACAAATCGCACCAACTTCTATAACACTTGATAATTGCTTGATGGACACTAAATAAAAATTTGTAAAGTAAGCTATATTCTAAGTACAAAAAAAGTTTGAATAATTAATATACATATTCAAAACAGACAAAATCAATAAAGTGGCAGTAACAACCCTCGTGATACTAAATAGATGAGTAATTTATTAAAAAAAAGTTTATTAAATTGTATCATATTAGTGTTGTGTAATTAAAAAAAATAATTACGTAGCTTACTTCATAAATGCAAAATTATTTAATTCCGTAGCACGCATCTGGCAGAAAACTAAAGAAATCAATAGAATAGAAATCTTCAGTATTGCATAAACGCAAGTTGCAATATTTATTTACAACTTTAAAACTATTTTATTAAAATAATCAAATACTTCTAAAATTATTTATTTTGAGATTTTGCTTTAACACGCTAGACGGAAACAACATTCTCGTGTAACGGAACTATAATGTCAAAATATGGCGAGAATTCCATGCGTACTCATGATTGTGTATATTATTTACAAAATTATAACAAATTAAGTAAATAAAGCAGCGAAATGTTATTAACAGAAAATAAAGAATTCGACATATTTGTCGCTAGCAAGATAGGATCGTTCAAACGTAAGTAATCCCTTAATTTTATAAAGTTTGTTGTAAGTTGTGAACTTAATATTTCATGTTAATTTTTTATTAAAACTAATTGAACTGTAAATAACGGAACGATTAATTACATTCTCTTCTTAGTATATTCCGTTTTATTGCAATGAAATCGTTTAGGAAAGGTTTTTTTAACAATAAATAACTTTGATAGGTTATGTTATGAGTTGTATACATTCTTCTTCTACCCGAAAACTTCGAAACATATGTACAAATCAGGGGGCCAATCGCGCTAATTGTCAAAGGTTTAACCAAAACCTCCAACCTCGCCAATCTGACACGTTGTGTACATTTCGTATCGCGCTAACTGTCAAAACAAAAACCTAAGCCAAAACTTAGACGTGTGACACGTAACGCACATTTGGTATCGCGCTAATTGTCAAACGTAAAACCAAAACCTAAAATGTTGCAAATTGGTATCGCGCTAAATATTTTGACATTTTAACCTCACATGTAACCTTGGGGGAATAGATTAACCTTTGCAAGGTCAAGGTTTGTGTGGCAGTTAATGGAGAGTAACTTTTCACTACGTTTATCGTATATAAAAGATGTTCCACGGTTACTTAAATGTTTTGGAAAGTGTTTATGAGGTGGATGTGGCCTAAGAACGGGCTTTAAATAAAAGAAAAGCATAGAAAGACGATCACATTTAACATGTCTGAGGAGAAATTCCGCAAACGATATACCGTTTGTCCACGGAATTCATTTCAGGATTGGTGGAAGAACTATGCCTACATATTCTCGTTAAAGGACGGTCTGTTGCATTGGATGTGGAGACAAAGGTAAGGGTTGAGTGGAATCCGAAAGTTCTCAGTTTTGCATAATAACCAAAATTTCTATACTGTGTAAATCATTATTAATTTTGTTACAGATTTTAATAGCTCGTATAGTTTTTAACAACTGGGGCGTACCAGACCCCCATTGGCAAGTGCTTATCACCCTTTCCCAAGTCAGTGTCAGAGAGGCACAAGCGGTAGCTGCTTCAAATAAACCAGTTATTATGAATAAATATGCAGCTTTCCTAAAAGGCATGCCGAAAGAGATGGTATTAAAAGGCGGTGAGAAAATAAGCTTTACAATGTACATCATATTTATTAGTTCTTGTCTTATTTCCTGTTGTTATTATCAAATTAAAATTACAGGTATAGGTAAAATATGTATAGTTGTATAAAAATATATTACAAGGTTACAATTTATCTCTTTTAACACTTGACTTTATACAACATATCGTCCCCTTACAGTGAAGCCTCACATATGCATTTTCAGTTTGTTTTTACTGATTTTTGTTGAATAAAAATTAATAATGTAATAATATAGTATCTAAAAGAGGTATAATTTAAGTAATTAAAATGCTAACTACACACATTATTGCATTTACTATACTTCACACCATATTTTTATCTTCATCCTAAAAAATTACATAGAAATATGAGGTATTCATTCTAAGATGACGATGTATACCTATTGTAATTGTTTATTATCTTAATATCTAAATTGATGTATACTTTTAAGAGGTTGAAATAAAAAAAGAGTGTATTTTTAGTTTATTTATTGCCTCAATCTACCCCAAATCATCCTTCATTTCCGGAGCGAGCTTGCTTTTGATTCTTCAAAGAAGTCTGAAACAAAAATATGTATATAGGAAGATTGGAGACCTAAATTTAAGACTGTGCCATACCTCTAATGAGAGTAGTGACAGATAAAGCAGGATGGGTATTTATATACATACAGTATGAAGCCAACATAAACGCCAGAATGTTTAGGGGCCTTTTCAAAATACATTTAACAAAATGTTTATATCACTGTGGAAATATAAAGGGGACAAAAGTCTACAGATTAGACCTTCGTTCCTTACGCTCTTTCAGATTTCCACAATTGAACATATCATCAGCAGGAATTAAGAAAACATGTTGAAAACAAACCTGTCATTCTTGTTAAATAGTCTATCAAAAAGGTTAACTGCAGGCACCAACTCGGTAATTGCTTTGCAAATGGCAGCTACGGATTGGGCATGCAGATCATCTGCTTTGGCAGAAATAATAGCTGCCTCAGCCTGCACCCTGCCAGCATTCACTTGCTGCAAGAATGCTTCGCATGCTCGCTGCTCCTCAATGCATAAGAATTCTACCCGGCTCTGCTCCAACGCTCATCAGCTCGCTGTCAACGAAATAATAGATGTGATGGAATAAAGAGTGGGAAAGAATTTGCTCAAATTGAAAGTTACTTTGTTTTTTAATTAATAATAAAGAGTGAGAAAGTTACTTTGTTATTGAATTGTATGTTTGAAGTTATTTTGTGCTAGAGTTGGTGTCCTTTAGGAAGGTTGGTAGGGCCTCTGCCGCAGTCGATGTGGCGTAGATTCTCACCCTGCTTTTCATACCATTCCATACCTGAATAACAATAATAACATCGCATATTATAGTGATATGAGTTCTGGTACAATAACGGTGAGTGATCCACTCACTGTATCCTATTACCTCGCATTATAGCTCACCTTTTGGGATCTATTGCGGGGCCACAAAATAGCCACACACTCGCACCAAAGGCGTGCTGATAACACGCGCGAACAACGCCGAGCGAAGTCATTCTCAAGCCAAATCTCTGTGCGATTCGAACTCCAGCAAAGATGGAGCTGGCTTACAGTGGTCGCTCGCCGTCCGACCGCATCCACACTGGCTGAAATACGAGCATCATTATTAATTCTACATTGCTAACATTTCGAAATTAATAGTAGTTAGCGTACCTATTTGATTGTATAAAAAGATACTATTTTATTAAATAGAATATTAAAAAAGGAAAACAATGTGTAGGTACTTGCCTCTGCGTGTTTTATCTACAACAACAACACACTAAATTCAATTAATTTGGTTCAAATCACAACACATATGTTTGTTTACAATAGAATTTAATGACATTTCTTTTACACACTTTTTTAAATCGCTCTTTTATAGACTTGAATTCGTAGATATTGACATTTCAGTGCGTTTTACGGTAAAATTTAGTCGGTTTTAGGAAGTCAAGGCACGTCTCTTAAAATTTAATACGAGGTTATAGTTTGAGGTTAATTTGAGGTTTAGGTTCATTAAAACTGATAGCGCGATTGCATTTTGTGCGTTGGTAGAACCATTAATTAACCAAAACCATAACCTCAAATGTTGTAAGGTTAAACCTTGCGAAAATAGCGCGATTGGCCCCCAGGTCAGACGGTAGCAGGCACTATGGAAACCGAAGTCAGAAAATTTTCAATGCTTTTTAAATTTTCTTTAAATTTTTTTTTCTTGTTTTTATATAATATAAACACTTTGTTGTTATTATTTTTTCTCTGTGGGCGAGTTTTCGACAAAATTTAGCTGAAAAAGTTTAATTTACCAAGGCTTACAAAAATTTTATTGATTTTTTGGATGTGGTATAAATTGTTTTTAATGTTCGGATCGGAGCAATCGCAACTCAATGTTGTTATGATTCACTATTGATTTAAACTGAAATATTTTGAAAAACAATTGAAAATGCACTTTAAATATAGTTTTATTTTACCTCCTAAGGCTCTGTGTACATCAAAAGGTACTTGGTACTTGGTGCAACTCGACGACAAAGCGCCTATTTTGCGTGTAAATAAAAAAATATATATAATAATAATAATAATCAAAAGGTACGAAATATGTAAAGAGATTACCCAGACAATATTATTTCTATGATCACCAACGTTTCACACGTATAGATACATGTACTTGGTACTTGGTACTTGGTGCAAAGGGCTGGTATCCATAACTCGACGACAAAGCGCCTATTTTGCGTGTGGTGGGTGCAGGGTCCTACTCGTGCCACCCAAGCTCCTCCAGGAATCTCAGCAGCCTCCTTGGTTTGCTGAAGACTTCGGGGAGCGACCTTGGCACTCCAAGGTATTTTGCCCTGTAGTTGGCCACGCCGGAGCACTGAAGTAGGATGTGCGCAGCCGTTTCCTCCCCCTCCATGCACGCTCTGCATAGAGGGCTGTCTGTGATACCTAAGAAGACTACGTGTTAGATAAAGATGTATGGAAAGACGACATGGCTCCAGAATCCACACAAATTTGATTCAAAGTGTATTCCATAGCATTTAAGTTTATTTGAAAAGAGCAATCCCTAGAGTTTCTTGCTCATTCTTCTCAGGGAGGTCAGCGTAGTGAACGAGTAGTAGCTTAAATGTGACGTTTTCAAGTGTAAATTTATTTTACCTATGGAATAAATAATCTTTGACTTTGACTTTGACTTTGACTAAATTGAAAAGGTGTTTATTGCATGGACCATGACCCGTTAGGGCGGCAGTTAGAGTGCGAAATAGATACATGTATAAAATATAGCTACATGGAGCAACATAGAATTGTTAAAACCACCAAATATTAATTAATCAGTTTTTTAATTCCATTGACTTACAAATAAATGGACGACGGGTCTAATACAAAAACCACGAAAAAAATGTCCCAAGTCAACCTATTCGAAATTTAAATTGTTATGTCATCGCAGTATCGCGCTGTCCATAGAACAAATGAAGACTAAAGCGGAGTGTCGCGCTCTGTATACGATTTTAGCGCCTTACAAGTGCGGACACTTTTTAGCGCGGACCCGACGTCCATATAATTGTAAGTCAATGTTTAATTCCAAATTTTTACTCTCTGCTTTGGTAAAAGATCAGTTATCTACTGCATTTTTTACAAGGCACTATTATAATTACTTTCAAATCCAACTTCGACTTCCTAGGTCTGTAGTTTGTCTTACTATACAGTAAAACCATTTCCGGAAATCTGGAGTATTTGAGTATCTAATTTAGTACATTATTTGAGTATTTAATTGAAAAATCATTTTATACATTAAAGGAATTTTGCTAACTAATTTCACATTAATTTATTATTGAGACGAACGTGACTGTATGACATTGATTTATTTACATTGATTATTATCTTAATTAAATTACTTTTGTTTTGATGTCCTAACTGTTGTAGATTTTAACACTTGGTCCTGGGAAGGTGGAAGCCTATAATCAGTGGTTTATGACTATTTAATGATAATTATTAGTGTTATTTTATTATTATTAATTGGAAGTATTGGACAAGTATAATTAATAATAATAGTATAATTCGTATGCCTTGATGGTACGTCATGGCGACCATAAAATAAATGTTATCATCTTTATTGTACCCATGATGACGAATAAAATTATTTGATTTGATTTGGAGTTCGTAAAAGTAACTAATTAATATTTAGTGGTTTTAACATGTATCTATAAAATGTGGAACAGCTTTTTCCGACCATTGACGATCACATAAACGCCCAGTATGCAATATAATGAATTGCATTCAAATTATCATGGACCAATTAGCAAGAGGACTGTTAATCCAGATACAAGACAGCATAGACGTGTATTTAGTACTGCCATCTGCTAACTAAGATGCGACTAAGTGACAAAACATTTTTTGAGATATCATAAAACACCATAACCCAGTTTTAGAATGTTGAAATTGTTTAATGATACTTCAGCTATGAATCATTAGAGTAAGTTCTGATAAGTCATTGCATAGCTCTCCAGCGCAACGTCGATTCGGTACACCAATGGAGTTTAGAGAATGCTATGGAATTTAACACAGATAAGTGTCATGTGATGACTTTCGCTCGGGTAAGGCATCCGATAACTTATGGCTACAATATAGGTGGAGATAGCCGTAACTCAATTGACCACCATAAAAGATTTGGGTGTAGTTTTCGATCGGAGGTTAATGTTTCATGACCACATCGAAGCTCTTGCCAAGGAGTCTTTTCGGCGTTTAGGGTTCATCCTTAGGCAACTGTAAGGATTTTGAAAGTGTCTCCGTGATCAAACTTCTTTTCAATGCATTAGTGCGAAGTAAATTGGAGAGCTCCATGTGTGTGTGGAACCCACATGAAAGCACATATAGTATTATGTTAGAGAAAGTACAGAAAGCGTTTCTTAGATATTTATACAAACGTGCCAATGGGTGCTATCCCTACATGTATCCTTTACTTTTTTTACTGCTTTTCTACTGGGTTGCCTAGGATACAACTCGCTGGAGGTTAGGCGAATGAAACACTAACTTGTGGTTATGTGCAAAATTCTCCGCGGCAATATAGATTCCCCAGATTTGCATAATGAGCTGTGTCGACTCTTTGCCCCCGTCATCTACCACCGCATTAGAAGACACCAGTTGATGGCCACCGCGTGGTGCCGAACCGTAGCGCGCGATAAATCACCCATACCGCGCTTCCTGTGCGCGCTCAACTCTCTCCTCGCCACCAACCCTGAATGCGACTTGTTTGCGGATGGATGGTCACTGTTATTGTTAAGATGCCTACGCTATTGTGAAGGCGATGCTTGAATGGTACTTAATCTTGTTGTGTTTATTAAGTTGTTATGTTAGTAATGTATCTTTAATTATTGTAATTGGTGTGTCCGTTATAATTAAAGTAAAATAAATAATAAATAAATAAGTCGAATACGTTAACTAATTTTAACTGTTTTCAAAAGAAAATTTTTTGCTCTATCTATATTTGTCACATAACCGCGTTTTTAGTGGTTGGCAGAGAAGCTACTGGCCATCGAGTATATAACCAGAAATAGAGACGAAATGTCATTTAATTTGTTTGAAAACTATTCTGCCATACCATTACTGTGACAAGTGCGCTCCGATTGGCCAGCCCGAGTTCGAAACAATTGACGGGTGTCGTCAACTGTTTCACTTCAAATCGACCAGTTAACTTGAGCTTTGCTATAATGGACGAAAATTGCAAAATTACATATTTAACATTAATTACCGATTAAACTTGATTCCGTTTGTTTTGTAATTAGATGTTTTGCTGTTTTTCCCACACCACCGAATAGAACAGCACGGCGTTGTTAGTGATATTATCTTTATTACAATAAATACAGAAAATTTTTTGGAATATACGGAGATGCCTTAAGCTAAAGGGGAAAATATGCAAGACCGTGATTAGACCTGTCATGTTGTATGGATCAGAATGTTGGGCGATAAAAAAGGAGGATGAACGAACTGTGCTTGTAGCGGAAATGTGAATGTTGAGATGGATGTGTGGAGTGACGAGATAGGATAAGATAAGGAATGAGTACATCAGGGGAAGTTTGAAAGTGGCGCCAGAGACGGAAAAGATGATGAGTAGTAAGTTAGCGTGGTATGGACATGTCATGCGGAGGGATTAAGGGAAAAGGATGGCCAATGAAAAGATGGATGGATCATGTGAAAGATGACATGGATAAGAAAGGTGTGAGTATGAAAATGACGGCTGATAGGGGAGAATGGAAGAAAAATACATGTTATGCCAACCCCACATACTGTGGGATAAGGACAGGAAGAAGAAGATTCATATACATGTTCATATTTATAAATATTTCTTCCGGCCCGAGAATTAAACCTCTGCGTGGCAGACTAGCATGGTAGTCGTTCAGTTCGACTCCTCCTACGTAAAGTATCGTATGTCGAAATTGCCAAGTTTACAGAGAAGCATTTTAAAGTTCTCCGTTTTATTCGGCAAAGCTTGTTACTCAAATAGAGTGATCATCTAATACATCATCTAGCCGATATCTAGGATTTTATAATACCTACTCTATGTGAGTAGCGAGCTTTGTCGAATAAAACTGAGAAATGCTAAAGTCACGTGTTGTGCTTATTTCAGTGAATTCAGAATATTTAAAAGGCTCCTCTGTAAACTTGGCAATTTCGACATACGATACTTTACGTCGGAGGGGTCGAGTTATGGAGGCAGTTAAAAATAATGAATATTTAAAAAATTCTGGTTTTTTTTTTCTCAGATATAAAATACAACACAGACGCAACAAAGAACACCAAGAAACATATAGAAAATCTAGTAGACATAAAATCGTTGCAGAAGGATGATAGTATCACATGCTTGGAGTGGGGTAACAATGATCAGACCGAAATTTTGATGGGCAGGAAAAACCAACAGGTAAATTCGTCTACAAGTGCCTTTTTAATAATCAGTCTGATATTCATGATTAAATATCAAATCTTTGATATTAAATTCATTAATAATTGTTGAATATCAAAGATTTGATATTTAGAATAGAATAGAATAGAATCCATTTATTACATAACCCCACAACACAATAATACACAATAAGAAATTAAAAAAAAACTAAATTAAAACAAACAGAAAATAGAATAACGAAAAAACTAAATAAAATTAATTAAAAATAAAATCTTAGTAATAAGTAATTAAATTACCACAAAGCTAGTCAACACTATTGTTGTACTAAGTAGATGTCATGTGTGCGGCTGTGGCGTATGTAATAGGATCCACTCAGCTAATGTCACCGCCGTAAAAGGCTGTGACGCTGATATTCAGTGGACCCTAAAACCGAGTGAGTACCGGACGTGTGTGTCGCGTTTAAACTAAAATAAATTACGTATTGTATATCTGTAATGTAGTATGGTGTGTTCTCTTACATTTATAAAATACTTAAATAATTCGTTTGATACATATATACAGTGATAAGCGTGTTCAAAGTAGTGTCTATTATTTACAACAAACAAAAATGGAACTTATTTAGTTTAAAAAGATACCGATTCACGGTGATTCACGCTCCATACTAAGGCGGTCATAAATACGTAACTCCGAAATTATTATTATTTTTTTATTTTATTACGTTAAAATATGATTAGGTAAACGTAAATTAATAAAATTATACATTTTAAAAAATATTTGACAATATTTAGGTGTAAAAATGTCTCGCAGTAATTTTGTTTTTAGACGATGTATCTAAAACATTTTATACTGCGACTTTTAATGGTAAAACTGTGTAAATAATGATTATTTGTATTAACAATAACCACAAATGAATAAATTAAAACAATAAAAATACATAAAAAAGTTCATTTTACAAAATACAAACAAAACACAAATTATACCAAAATACATTAAATCTCAACAATATTAACTTTAAATACATAACAAGTCTAATACAGCTTTTGACAGTACACCTTTTTTTTTAACAGGTAACTTTCGTAGACCTGTTATGAAGGGATCTGAATGAAGAAGCAGCCTATTTACTAAATCTGTGTTGGTCACAATGCGACTCATTTTACGCGTATGATTTTTTCTAAAAGACTTGATGTATTTGTTAGTCGCTTCAGCTGCTTCTTCAGACAACTCTCCGATTGACAACAAACCGTAATCTATAACATTAGCACCATGAATTAGAACTTTGTGAACGGAAGCAGACATGTTATACCACGGATACTCGGCAACTAACTGCCGAGCCGTCTCTAAAGCGAACTCTTCGAAGTTCGTCTTATTAATATTATATCCCGAATTTAAACATTGAAGGATGATCCAGCAACGATCTAGGAGATCCTTCTTGATCCCAGTAATTTCAGCGGAAATTTCTGAATTCGAGAAAAACCGCCTGGCTGTATTACCATCGTTTGATGTTCCGCTTCCGCCACTTTTAGGCTTATCCACTATAAGCCCTAATCTTTCTCTAAATTGAGTCTGAACATAAGATTTTTTTGCAGCAACAAGCATTTTGTCATTAGCGGACCTAGCTTGCCATTTCCTAACATCTAACTTGTACGCGACATGAACAAAATATTCAAAAAAACGTATTAACGCGTGAAGAGGTGATAAACCAAATTCATATTTACTCTCATCGACTTCCTTATTTAAACATTCGTCAATTTTGTTCATTTCACTGGGCAAGGCGTTACAAATAAAACATTTTGATGAAGAAACACCACTAAGTGCATTACACACTTTACCATCTACCATAGTAAGTTGCAAACAATGAGTAATGCGATATTCGCGATCTTCTTCCTTGAAAACAGTAGGCTGCAAGTTCCTTATTTTATCTTTAAAATGAGCTTCTTCCTCAACTGACACTGCAGTCGATTCCTTCAAATATCGGAGGCGTATAGGACGACAGTATCGAGTTGATGAAGGACGAGGATTTTTCCACAAAACTACTGAATTTTCTTTGTTATCTGTTGTCAAAACAAGCTGAAGTGGCACATACGAAGTAACAAACAGGCTACTGTCTTCAAGAGTGGAGTCAGAAAAACACTGTTTATATTCTGAATGCCCTGTACTGCCATCGAAATCCCATTTCCCTATCAAAGATATCTTATCTAGAGACTCATTAGGTACACTATCCAAAACATCTTTTTGAGACTTGAGAATCCGATTGGCAGTATGATCTAATAAACTTTGAAGTTCGACTTCGGCGGATGATTCTGTAACAGTAATATCTGAAGGATAACAGTGTTTTTTAGATTCCACGACACTTTGGTAAGATGGGAAAATGGTTTTTGAAAACTTATTGTCTATAAATTTCTTTACTAATATATATTGATGTCGAGTTAACTGAGCTTCAACAATGAGCGATAAAACTTCGCTAGAATCGATTTCAGGACAAGACAAGCTATCGGACGCATTGAGCAATGACTGTACAAGAGAAGGGTCTTGGTTAGACAAACTAGCCAATCTTCTCCTTTTTGTACGTTTACTGGTGTCGTCAAAGTTAATTCTCGGACGGCCATGCGATGAAGAAGTTGATGGTTTAACTTCGTCAAAGCTCTGAGATACACGTAACTCAGTTCGCTGTACATCAATATTTTCAACGACATGCAGCCAATCTGAATATTTTTCTAAGAATTTAGATCTAGTACGATTCGACTTTGCCCAGTAGTGGGAAATTCGTTTACAAATATTCTTAATTTTAAGGCTTAAAGTCTCTAAATCAATATTTTCGATGTCGTCAGAAAGGGATGATGTTTCGGTCAAAGTGCTCAGGACGTGTTGCATTTTTTCATTTGGATTACCCACTTTAGAGTGCCAAATATCAAAAATTGTCATCCTCGATACAGAACATTTGAAAAATGTACCTAAAACAATATGAAAGCTGAACTTAAAAAAAAATTAAAAATTCAATACTATGGACATGCATACTTTGACACCCCTTTAAGCCAAGAAGAGGCAGCAAGATGCAAATGAAACTTATAGCTCTTAATAAGGACATACTCCTTATTCAAAAACCATATACCTCAGGTGCAGCTCAGCGCAGCCAAAAGTTGTAGGTCTAAAGGAAATTAAGTTATGCCAAAAATTTTCACCAAAAAACTGCCTTCAATAAAAAAATTATATAAAAAAAATATGCATAAAAAAAATTAAAAAAAATTGATAATAAAAGTACATACCATGCTCTTGGATCTCCATGCTTTCACAACACGTAAACACTTGATTTGGAATAGTGACACTCAAAAACAAAGTGATTAAGTTTCGATGACTCACACGTGGTGATAATTAGTCTCGCGATGCGCTCACTTCCGATGCACAAAAGTGAATGATAACGTGACCTAATTACATTGATATTTATAGTTTTTGGAAGCTTGTTAACTAGTTACTAACTTAGTGAGTTGATCTAACCGGGATAAGCCAATGATTTTTTTTGATTTATGGCCTATGGGGGAATCACAGTGCGATTGCGGGATTTGTGTCACGTGGGCGACGCAAGACGAGCGAGCTTACGAGCCACAAAGTGGTATGATGGTTTAAAAAACCATTAATAGTCCTCCAATCCATTTTACAAAAAAAAATTGTTCCTGTTTTTATATCATTATATTTTGTTACAGCCTTTACGCCTTTACTTTACCTGTTCTTTTTCCCTTCCTGTAGTCTTTCTTTATTTCTGCAATACAATTCATGTGGACCGAGCCTTGTATTTAAGAGGGAGCAGAGGAAAAATTCCTAATCTTCGATTTGATTTTAGATGGGTATATCCACTTTAAAGTTAAAAATAAAATATTGTATGAGTAACTACACGATATATTCAAGCATAGACATTAATCAGAAACATAAAACAATAAAGTTTCTTCGATATATAATAATCACGAAATGACCTCTAATTTTCACATTTTTTCGATTCATCCTCGAAATGCTACAGGTTATTATGACAAAAATTAGATAATTAATTATATTTATGCATGATCGAGAACTGTCACTGCGGATTTTTTTTTAATCCCTTTAGTTTTAGAGTTATTCCGCTAAAACGAATTTGGTACTTTTAATGCGCAAAAGTCAACATCTCCTGTCGCATGTCACGCGAACTTCAGGCATATATTTGTCTCACAAATGTGGGCGGAGCCAACGTCAAAACTTTTTTGGCATGCTCCCTCTTAATTACGCGAGGCCCCGCGTGACAAGTTCACCACCATTTCCACCAACATTCACATGCATAATATTTTAGAATTATTTGATTTATTATGACAACGTCAGAAAATACTGCCTTGACTCGTCACTTTTATTGTGTTTTGTAGTCCTCGGTGGTCAAGTGGCTTGCACACCGATTTTCATGATGTCACCATCTCTGAGGCCCCGGGTTTAATACCCGACCGAGTCAATGTAGAAAGTTTCTTTTCTACATTGTCTCTGGTCTGGGTGTTTATGGTACCGTCGTTTTTTCCCTTCGTTCCCACTAGTTCTATTATAGAACTACTGGGACTTTTTTCCCATTAGTTCTTTTAAGTTCTATTGTAGTAAATAATAGAACTAGTGGAAAAAATGATTTCCCAGTATAATAAATAAGTTCAACTTAACTTTTAATCATTACAAATCAATATTAAGACAATAAAACTGAAAATAATATTGTTTCCATTGCATCCGTGTAACTATTTTAAGATTGCTAAATTTGACATAAGAACAATATTACTTTACTGTTAAAGTCGCGTCATAGTACGAACTGAGTGAATGAATAGTCACAAAGCTGCCAATAAAACATCATAGTTTTAACATTACAATAAGCTTACTTTAAGCGCGTTATGGTACGAAAAGTCAACGTAAGGTTAAAGTAATATTGTTTTAAGAGGTTGGTAGGCCCCCTGGTGATAAGCGACACGCCTATCTTTGGAACTGTTATGACAGTTGCAAAGCTCTTAAGCTTTAAATCGCAAACATCTTAGGGACACTGCCCTAGGCCCTAGACGCGTTGATACTGTTGACAAGTCCAATATGCCTGTAATTTCACAAATTTATTTACAGATACAACTATATGACACGTTACAAGGTTTCACAACTTCATACAAAGCAGACTTTGGTACCGGTGATATAATCGGACTAGGTCGTTGCAAACGTAAGCTCCTAGCGGCCTTATCAAGTGGCGTTGTCAAGATATGGAGTAAGAAGGAAGAGAGCATACTCAAAGTTGGTGAAAAGTTGGATTGTATGAGAATATGTCGTTTTGAACATTGCTTATTTGCTACGGGTAAGTTTGTGACGGTGTGACCTCCTTATATCATCATCCCTCCTGTTGGTGTTCTAGCTCTCGTAGGATCGTTAACGTTAGGTGGACTGTATTTGTTCAGGTTCTTGATCTGGATCGATGGGGTTCTCGCTCTTCTCGGGATCAGGATCGTAAATGAAACACTGACTACTAACCACTATCATCACCTTTATTGCTCAACATGTTCCTACTTAAGTACAAAATTAACTCTCTCATCTAGTAGAGATGTCGGCGAGGAGGCGGTCGGCGCGGTGCGCGGGGTGCAGGGGGCGGCGACTCAGTACGACGCTGTGTGCGGGGTGCGGGGAACGGCGACGCGGTCTCGGTTGGGGCGCGGGGCGCGGAGTGTATGGTTCGGTGTCCGTAACACCACCTTTTTATCGCCTTTCTCCGGTTCCTGGCCACTCGTATTTAAATTTCCGTAGTTCTATTGTCTCGCATTCTGATTTTATTTCTTTCCATCGCCACCCCCTGCCCGATCGCGGCAGCGAACACGTCTTCTCTTCTTAATTTTTTTTTTGAGCCGTTTACCAGTTACCAAAAATCTCTTGCGCGATAAACATTTTTAAAGATAATAATAAATATTGTTGAAACGGAATAGATATTTGTAAAACTGGATTTATTACCACTAGTTCTTTACCCTTTTGAACTTTGAACTTTAAACGTACTAAGCAAGAAGGAGGCGCGCTGGCTGCGAAGACTACTATACTACTCTCCCGACAACATTACAATCCTACTGAACAGTCAACAGAACTCACAGCGCCAGCAGCGCCCTAACAAGTTCATTTCATGGACCAATAAAAAAAATAAAGCACACACTCAACGTAGCCCAGCAATATTACAAATAAACGATTATTTAATTAAAATTGAATGTAAAATTACAACAAAAATTAGACATCTTTAACGTGGTGGTTTTTTTTATTTTACGCACTAGAGCATAAAATCCTGTTTTATGCAGCCTACACCCAGCCTAAATACGAAATTTAAGAGCATGAGAAGTGAAAAATGTATCAACTCATCCGAAGAACAGAGTCCGATGTGATTGTATAGCGAAAAGAGAATAAGTACGTTACGATAATAATTTCGTTAGTCCAACTAAGGCCTATGTAAAGGTGTTTTGAGAATTTATATATATCTTATTTCGTTTCGGAAATACAAAATGGAACAACGGTCGATCTGACATCCACAGCAAAGAGGAACGACCGAAATGTACTATGTCCTGAGAACAAGTAGTCTTGCACATAGATCTATGTTCTACGGATGAGTCAATTATAATTATATATTAACAAATGGAGCACTTTTTTGACTTATTTGCTTTAGTCCGCCGACCCTAGAATTACCATGATATTCATTTATGTTTTGTTTTTTGTTTCAATAAAATCAATAATAAAATGTTGTCCATATAGGTGGCGAAGAGAATGACTTAAAAGTACACCGTATAGGTGAACAAAGTCCAATATTCGTGGCAAAAAATCTCGCTCACGATTGGTTGCAACTGCGCAGACCTGTGTGGGTGACAGATTTGACCTTTTTAGACGATGTTAATACAATTGCTGTATGTTCCAGACATGGATATATTAGGTATGTCATTTATTTTAATATAACTTCACAAAATGGACCATCATATTGTATTTATTAAGTCATTAATTATAATATAGGGACTTATTTATCTAAAATAATAATATCAAACTTTAATACGTATATAATAGATAACAGCTACCCAACCTACAATATCCTTTTACATTCAAATTCCGTACCTCTTCGATAATCTGTAATTCTGCTTTTGCAACCCTTTTATTGGCTAAATTCGAAGGCAAATCCATTAATAATAAAAAAACTAATTTGTTTTACATTGACGTGTTGCAATTTATGAAGGTAGGTATCCATTACGTTCGCCCACCGACTGTGCTCCGCGCACCCGCAACTGCTTCATTAGTGGATATGGATAATTGGTTTCTGCGCGAACACAGAGCGGATCGCATTGTGTTCGTGGACGCGAGCAAGCAAGACGTTTTCGGGTGTCACGCTCCGCGTTCCGCTAAGATTTTTTAAATTGCCACGAATTTATCGCTATGAAGCTGTCCGACGAGAAATATTTAGCTCGTGAACAATATAATCTTTTTTTACACACACATTCATAACCCCGCACTAGGGAAACCCTGAACGCGGGTGCCATGGACATACACATAGACAACCACAAATTACGCCCAAACTCACGAGACAAATAAATGTAGGGCATACAAATCGAACCCGGGACCTCTGTGTGGCAGTCCGGTAACCGTTCGGCCCCGGAGGCAGTTAATTAAAATATATGCCGCACTCTAGCTACTAATTCTGGGGACGACATGCTCAATGTTCAAATGAAAAATGTGGAGCAGAACCTAATGGAGCACTCGGTTTTCTTGTAGTGATGCGCGTAACATCTCCATTAGAGCGGTTGCACATGTACCATTGTTGGTGCGCACACGTTATGAATACCCATCTTCAAAGTTACTCTAATTTGTAGTGATAACAAACAAATCAACTAGATGGCGCTTATTGCACAGATGTTTATGAACATTGCCGGCTATTCTTTAACTTTGTTTAGGATTAGCGCCATCTATTACAAAACATTAATTTATAAATTAGTATGTAACACACAAAAGCCGTCCATTGATACAAATATTTCTCAAAATCTTAATTTAATATATTTGTTAAAAAAAATTTCAGACTGTATGACACACGTGCGCAAAGAAGACCAGTATGTAATATAGACTGCCCCAATATGGCAGCTACATGCATTACTTCCAGTTTCGAAGACAGGTAAATAGAGATATTATATCAGACGGT